TCCCCCGTGTCCCCAGCCCAGTGTCACCACCCCCGTGTTCCCAGCCTGTGCATCCCCGGCTCTGCCGTCGCATGGAGGACGAGGACGGCTACCTGGTCTTAGACCCATGGGGCAAGTGGAAGTGCCCGCCCCGGCAGGGTGCAGGTACCGGAGAGTCGTGTCCACTGGACCCCCCCGTTCCTTGGGGGAGAGGAACTGGAGGGGGGCGGCTGCGGTCTGAAGCCACCCAGGAGTCGCCAAGAGCTGCCCAGGGTAGGGAAACTCGGCACAGCTGGAGGGAGGGGGGTCTGGGGGCCTTTTCTTGATGCTGTGGTTGTCTGCTGTCCCACCCCCCCGAACCGTGACCCCAAAAGGTGGAGCAGAGGGGGTTTTTGGGGTCACCCAACTCCTCGTGCTCCTGTGCGGGAGGATCTTACTGATTTGCTTTGCCCCCCCAGGACTCCCTGCCTGGGGCTCTGGGGGTTCAGGGAGGCGATAGGTGCTCCTGAGCCCGCTCTTTTTATGCCATATCCCTTCCCCAGCGGCAGGATCTGGCTTTCAAGGATCCCAGAGGGTCCCCGCAGCATCCCCGCGCTGTCCCCGCCGCCTCCTCGAGGCCCTGACGGCCACCCTGGCGCTGTCCCTCGTGCTCTGCCGTGAGTTTGGGGGTGGCAGAGGGCTCCGGGCACCCCTTCCCACCCCACCCCCGGTTTCCCTGACCGGCCTCGGCATCCCCCTCTCCCAGTCTCCTGGTGGGCGGCACAGCGGTGGCAGTCCAAGGGAACGGCAGGTTATGGGAACGCCTCGCTGGGAACTGCCTTTTCGGGCTGGGATGACATCGTCAGGGAGCTGCGGAGGATCCTGTGCCCGCCCCGAGGTAACACAGCCCCCAGGGGGATCCTTAAAGCCTCCCCCCAATAAAGGGAGGCCGGAGATTCCCTCCGGTCCCGCAGCGGTGCCTCAGCGCGCCGGGGTCCGCCCGTGTGCCCGCAGAGAGAGATGGATGCCGGCTCTGCGCCGTGGGCTGGAGGCTGATCGGGACCAAGTGCTACTGGATTTCCGACGGGATGAACCCTTGGAGCAAGAGCCGGGAGGACTGCGGGAATCGGGGCTCCACGCTGCTGGTGCCGTGGGACCAGGATGAGATGGTGAAGGAAATGATGGCGCTGGGGGTGTGGGATGGACCTGGGGCTGCACCCGGGGGGCTGGTGGTGTCAGAGGGGCTGGAGGCACCCATGGAAGGGTGAGAGGGTTCCCAAAATGTTGGGTTCAGCCCCCACCGCTGTGTCCAAGCCCCCCGGGGTGCCTGTGGCAGAGTGCGAGGGACACGGGTGGGGCTCAATTCCGGGATGAGGACGGAGCCTGTTTTGGGGTGACCAAGCCAGCTTCATCCCTTCTCCTTTCCCGGGCCAGGAATTCCTAAATGAAAGTCTGCAGAAACCCACACGGCACTTCTGGATCGGCCTCTCAGTGCCTGTGGCCGGGACGGGCTGGATGTGGGAGAACAGCTCCAACCTCGACGAGGAGCGGTGAGCTCCCTGGGGAGCGCTGGGGGTGGGGAGGGCCCCCCATTGTCCCCGAGGCATCCAGGGGGTGACACGGGCTCCTTCCTGCCGCCCGCAGGCTCCAGCTGGACCTCAGGAAGCGAGGACCTGGAGCCTGTGGAACGCTCAAGGGGAACGGGATCGTCTCTCAGAGCTGCGACACGAGGCTGCAGTGGATCTGCAAGAGAGAATCTGCCGAGATCTGAGCCTCCATTGCACCCCAAAACCAGCGTTATTAATGCAGGAAAAATCCCAATTCCCTCGGATCCGACAGCTCCCGGGGGATGGGCAGAGCTGCAGCCGGTGAGAGTCTCCCCGAGGCGGGCGATGTAGGGGAGAAATCGACCTAAAAAACCTAATAAAACCTAAAAGCAACTCGGGGAATCGCATTTTGGGGGCGGACATTGGGAAGAGAGAGGGAGAAATGTGGCACTTTAAGGGGTGCTTTGGTGCCGGGATGATCCGAGATTCAGCTGGAGGGGAGAAACTTAAGACTGATGGTCCACAGTGTCCCTGCCCATGTTCCCTGTGCTCCCCGTTGTGTCCACCCACGTCTCCCCGTGTCCCTCTCGAGTCTCCCGGTCTAGAGACGGCTCCCGGGAGTCCAAGGCCAGCCACAGCCGCCGGTCCTGGCAGCTTTTGTCTGGGAGCAATCCTGGGATATTCGTAGTTTTAGGAGGCGGAATTCCCCCACCTTCGGCACCCGCAGCCTCTGAGCCCGTGCTGGCCTGTGGCGGACGACCAAGGCACCTCAAGGACAATGAAACAATTAATTAGCTTAATAAACGGCTCCTAATTAGCGGGTAGGAGAAGTGAGGCCCCAGGGCTTCCCTCCACCACAGGGCCGTGAGCTCTGCAAAACGATGTGTCCATTTTCAGACACATCTGGCATTTCATGGATCGATTCCCGACTTTTTTTACGCCTCTTTCAGTGGCAATTTATTGACTCGCATTTCTCAGAGATCAGGACGAACTTTTTTACCTTTTATTTTTACCGTTTTATGGGGTTGAGGTGGAAGGGTTTCTCTCGCAGGAGCTCCTCGCCCTTTCCCCCGTGGGGAGCAGGTTTTCCTTTGTCTGGAAGGGCAAAGGAAAACCCACTGTCCCCAGCCCCTCGGTCCCCTCCCCGGGTGTCAGGGAGGGTTTCCCCAGCAACTGTCGGGCTGTGGCGCGGGCAGGAAACTCTGCTCCCCCCACCAGCTCGCACCACACCGGGCCAGCACTAGCGGGCAGAGATGCTTTGGCTTCCTGTCCCTTCCCCCGTGTCCCCAGCCCAGTGTCACCACCCCCATGCCCCCAGCCTGTGCACACGGAGGACAAGCACGGTCTTAGACCGACGTGGCGAGCGGGGCGTGCGGGGAGCTCGCCACCTCGGCAGGGTGCAGGTACCAGGGGTACCTGGAGGTGTCCAGCAGCTGGGGCGGAATCCCTCTCATCAGATGGACTGGCTTCATTAAACCCTAATAATAACAGTAATATTAACACCCCCTCTCCAGCTCAAAGTCACTTCCCTCCATCCCAAAGTCACCTCCTCCCTGGGCACTCCCAGATGGTCCCAGGGAGGTCTCTGGAAGGGTTCCATAGGCGGTTCTGGGGCTTGGTCCTGGAAGGTCCCCATGGGACCCTCTCTGGGAACTCCCCAGGAAATTCCAGGACGACCCAGGACCCCACTTGGACCTCTCAGGACTTCTGATACACCCCTGGGACCTTCATGGTATGCCCCCCCCAGACCCCTCTGGGACATCCTGGGATGCTTTAGGACCTCCCAGGACCCTCCCAGGGAGCCCAGGAACATTGGAGGATTGCTCCCAGATAAAAAGAGTGACAGCTCTGGCTGGCCTTGGCCTCCCAGGGGCTGTTCCCAAGGCATTTTGAGTGACACCCTTCCCACCCTCTGGAAAAGAGCCATCCTTCACAGACAGGGACCCCTGGCTGAAAGTGGGATTTGCCCAAAGCAAGGCCAAGGAAGAAACAGGGGTTTGTTCCATTCAGAAAGTAGTTATAATTCCCCCTTCCTTTTTCTCCGTGCAAAGAGGAAAAAGCCCTCCTTTTTTTTCAAACTTGACTGCTTTCAGACTCGATTTTTGCATCAGAACATGAACCCATTGGTCCTGCTGGATTGGTCTCCGTGACAATTTTTCATTCATAAATATGTAACCTGTAATACCAATGCACAGGGTAATGCCAATCCCTCACAGGATCTTAGAGCACTGCAAAACCATGAATATTTTGGATTTTTCTTTCTCCAGCCACCTTCCAATCTGTCCTTTAAAGGGGGTGTGAGAGCTCTGTTTTAGAACGGGCAATGTTGGCCAGGTGATGCTTGGTCTTTCCAGGGAAAGGCAACTCCCTTCTCTGGGAGAGCAGTCACTTTGGCACAGCCTCTACATTAATCCTGCCACCTGTGGGGAGAAGCCAAGCAACCCTGATATTTTAAACATTTATCTGAATAGTGGGAAAACCATTTTTTACCCAGGTTCAGGGCCAACCTGCACCCGTTTGCTCTTGTGCCACCACTGTCCCCTCACTCAAATGGGTCCTCTCCCTTGGCTTTTCCAAATGGCTTTTTTTCAAATGCCTCCCTGGTGTGGCTTTTCCTCCCCACCCCGATATTCATAGCAAGATATTCCCTTCTACCTGTGCTTTTAGCTGTGTTAAACAAATGGAGCTCTTTGTTTCCCAGCGTGGAGGTGTGTGTGAAGATTAATGAAGCTCGCAGTGATGCATCCAAAGAGACTCTTTACAGGGCTGAAGGAACAAACAAGATTTCCTCTCACCCATTCGAGAGCAAGATGTTACTTAGAACACATAAATGTGGGTTTTAAGGCTATTTCACAAAGAGTAACTTTTTTCTTGAAGGCTGGGGTCACTGGTGTTTGTAGAAGTTTTTCTAGTGAGAAAACAGAGCTCCTTCGGGGTTCTCTTGAGTAGATGCTTTCTGTCTTGGCAAGCATGTGGGAAGAAGACCTACTTTGTGAGACTGGTACTGGGTTACTAACAGACCTGTCTGTTCCTTTTTTCTGCTAAAAAGAGCATCTGATGTCTAGGCACGGTTCTAAAAGCCATCCCACGAGGGCAGTTTGCTCGAGATCAAAGCACTGTCTGCTGGCTTACGCCAGGTGTCATCTTCTGTGAGGAGACAGCTCGGGTGGCACGGTGACAGCAGACAAACAGTCACCGCCTGGAACGCAGCAAGCTACAAATGCCAGGAGCTGATGCTGGTAATCTCTGCCTCAAGGGAGTGTAGAGAACAAAAGTGAGGGAGGTTAAGAGCAAAAGTTTAAAATGCCGCACCAGGATCTGTCTAAAAGTCTGCACAGATTTATAAATTCTGAAGCCAGGGATGAGTTCTGTAGAGATTAAGCAGAAATGGCTTAAGCAAATTTAATTAATTTAATTAAGCAAACGGACATTTTCTCCTGCTGCCGGCTCCCAGGAGAGGGGCAGTTTCTCCAGGCAGTGCATCCTGCAGGTGGCAGACGCAGTGCTCCATGGCACAGTGCACTGCAGCTGCTCCAGGGGTTAATTTTTGGGGAATGACCAAATGCTGCTGTGGTATCTGTCACTGCACCGGGAACTACTGATGTGAAAAATTTCCCTTTCCTTTTTCTGCTGCCCATCTCTGCCTTTTCCCCCCTGCAAGTGTTCTGCAAAGTAATTTCTTCAAAATGTTCCTTTGCATAATCTTGGGGTGCTTGTCAGGTTTGCCCAGGATGTCTAAAAACCACTGTGCATGTACAAGGCTGGTCCCAAACAATATTCTGCTTACTGTATTTATTTCATAAGGTCAGAATTAACGCCAGGGGACACAGAGACCTTTAACCTCTTAAAACTCTCCGGAACACCTGGGCACTTTGGCTGCTGCCACTCTTCCCATGGTTAAGTTTTATGGAATAGCCCTCAAATCCTTTTCCTGCCAATAAACTGGTTTTGGGATCCTTGTGGTGTAAGTGGTTGTCAGTCACAGGTTTGGGCAGTGAGGGGGATGCAGGGTCCTACCTGATCCACCCGGAATAGAGTAGATTCTGTAATCCACAGATTAGCAGAACTAACTGAGTGGATAATGCTATAATGCTATAGAACAAAACCTCTCCTCAAAAGATCACATAGAACGATTTGGGTTAGAATGGACCTTAAGGCTTGTCTTATCCACACTGCCTTTCGCTATCCCAGGGTGCTCCAAGCCTGGCCTTGGACACTCCCAGGGATCCAGGGGCAGCCACAGCTTCTCTGGGCACCCTGTGCCAGGTCCTCCTCGCCTTCACAGGGAACAATTCCTTCCCAATATCCCATTTAACCGCGTCCTCTGCCAGTGTGAAGCCATTCCGCCTTGTCCCAAGTCTGTCTCTTCCCCAGGAGCACACCCTGAGCTCTCCCGGGCTAGAACCAAAGCAGAGGGGCTCCAGCCCCAGATAATTAATAACGAGGGCGATCTTACAAACAGTTGTTGTTTGTTTGTGATGTTTTTTGGGTTTTTTTCCTCGTATTTTTAATCCAACCCACCTCAGTCTTTGAGGTTTTACCGCCTCCTCCCAGGTGAGGGCGCTGCTCTCCCGCTGCCCTGAGGGGGGGGGGGCGGCTTTCCCCGCCCTCCCCTGCGCCGCTAGGGGGCGCTGCTCCCCCTGAGGGGGCGTGGCCTCCCCGCCCCGGGGGCGGGGCCAGAGGGAAGAGCGAGCTCGGGGCGGGGCGCGGGCGCGCCGGGACCCCGCGGGCAGCGGGAGGAGGAGGAGGAGGAGGAGGAGGGAAATAAAGAAAGGAGGAAGGAACGAAAGGGCTGGCGGCGGCAGGAGCGATGGTGGGTGAGCGGGGAGTGCGAGGCCGGTGTGGGGCGGAGAGGGAGGTGTGAGGCCTGTGAGGCAGCGAGGCCCGGCGCCGGCTGGGGGGTCCCGGGCGGGCCTCAGGGGATGCGTGGCCGAGCTCGGTGCGAGGGTGGGCGGTCACGTCCTCTGCGAGGCCCGTACCCTTCTCCTGAACCGCCTCTTATCCATGCATTCCTTTCCTTGTTCCCCGCAATCACCTGGTTTCGGGGCAGAGAGAGGATTAGAAGCGGTGTTTTCGCCCGTCTGTGGTTAATTTCACATGGGTGGGGCAGAATGATGTTTTCCTCAGGGTTTTGGTGAAGGTGCTGATCGGGCTAAGTGAACTCGTGTTTGCTGATTGATTGTTGTTTTTTTAGAGACGCTGTTTGCTGATTGGCTATTATTAT